TTCGCAGACAATGATGACCAAAGACTTGAAGGCACCTCAGATCATCAGACCGAAGGGGCCAAGTTTCACTACCATAGAGCAAGGCGGTCCTCACTATGGCCTTGTATACACGTCCTTTCAGACAGAGGGAAACTCCCTTCTGTCGCCAAAGCTGTCGCTGGTTCAAGAAGACAGTCCTGGCTTTTGCATTGCGCGAACTGGCTTCAGTTCCTATGCGCCCATCGTTGCTGCTATAGCTGCCAAGATAAGTGCATCGATCAACTACTTTGAGTTCCTCATCAAGGGTCATCAAGTCGCTGGTGATCCTGTAACGGCACTTTTTACTTTGTAAGAAGCGGATGCCAATTAATGGGACTGCTTTGAAGAGGTTATTCAGGGCTGACTGCGCCGCCCTAAGGTTCAAAACTAGGACAATATCGTCCGCATAATCAAGATCCACTAGCTTTTCACCAGACAGCACTTTAACGCCTGCATCTTGAGGCTTCGCAAGGGAACACTCCATGACGGAGACCATGACGAAGTTGAACAAAACGGGGAAATTTGGCAACCCTGATGAACGCCACTTGTTGCCGTAAAGGCATCCGACAAATCACCATAGACCCTGAGACGGCCAGTAGTGTTCGAGTACATGGCATGTAAAATGTTCACATATTTTTTGGGAACACCTTTCCGCACAAGGATTTCAGACAGAAGGCATCGATTTACAGCATCTAACTCACTCTTGAAGTTGAGGAACACATCTATGGTTGCCCTGTGGTAAGTGTGGCGCTGCTCTAGCGCCTGCCGCATGGTGAGTACGTGTCTTATACAATCACGTCCTGGGCGGAAGCCTGCCTGCTCTTTCCCAATTCGTGATTATCGCCGCTGCAGTGAGCGAACGAGAATTGAGGCCAGTAATTTTGTCACTACTGGGAAAGCGAATGCTATGCTATCGTGCACTGGCGTGTGCTTGAAACCTAGGTGAGTTTTTTAGATTGATCGATGAGCGCCCTTTGTAACGGAGGACAACGTGACTGATTGGGGTCCAGAGCTGCTTAGCGATCGGTTGGCGCAAGTTTACACGATAACAGCGATTGAGATGGAAGGTAGCATATCGGTCTAAGCGCAAGTTGTGTTTGGTCCCCTCTGTTAGCTTTATCGTGATGTTAACGAGCAGTACCAAATAAAGAAATTCTGTATTACTCAAGGATGCAAGAACCTGTTCTCTAGAACAGACAGATCAAGAAGTATTACAAGCATTCTATGTTATCAGATAATGAATTAGAAATATGAACAAGAGTTTCGTATTTATCTGCGTGACGCAAAGAAATCTGAAGCATTTTCTGAATGTTCAGCCTCTCGATACACTAACGTTCTTAACAAACACATGACAGATGATCGGGTTGAGAAGAAGATGAAACGAAAGGGTCTGCTGTCCAAAATACGATGGCAGTTATTCACATGTGGGTATTCGTAATGCTGACAGGTGCCATCTATACCGCTTTCGAACGTGTTATCCATGAATTTTAATATCCCAAACACGTTGACTTCGTTTTGGACGGTCAACTGTGTTTTAATCCCGCTTGAAATTATGCAGTACACATAATACTCTGATATCTTTTGTTAGTCTATTCCAGATATTAGAGTGGTGGTTTTTATTAAGGAGCTTTGGAATCGTCACCTTCGACTCCTTGTTACGTATCGGATATCCAGTGTTCCAAGACATGTGAACACCGTTAACAGAACTGTGTGGAAGATGGTTTAAGAGTATGCCAAGAGTAGAACGGCTGTCACTGTGATCACGCGAGCTTCTGGCTTCATAAATGTCCCAGTTTCAAACATTCTATCCTAACTTACGCAATCATTAAGGTTGTTCTAAAAGTCGCATGTTAATTAGCAATGCAGCGCTTGTGATATTGGCTGAAACGTGGGGCGAGGGCAATCGTCTACCTCAGTGCGGTCGATCGTGTTATCGATCGGGTGGACCCAGTGAGTTTATACACACTCCACCAATTGTTCAGAACCTCAGAGTTGTGAATAGAACGCCAGTGGGCCGAGCCGGTGTGAGTACTTTCTCTTGAGGCGGCTGGGAGAACCAGGCAGGTAACACGGTGTCAGAGGGGAAGAAGCTGACGCGCCGGACCCCGCTAGCTTTTGGTGGATAGCCATCGATTCCACTGCCAACTGCTCTAGAGGTGATGGAAGGCACGCTATCTGACAACTGGAAAGCGTAGAAAGAGAATTGGATGGAATTCACGGCGTTGATGCAGTTTGATGTATCTCTGAAGTCATACCAGATGACCATGTTCTGATATGCTGTCGGCCAGGAAGCGTGCCGTATACTGGAGGCATGGAATTTCCGGATCTTTCACAAATAATAAAAATATTTGTGGACTACTGTAATGGTTGCTTAGGCCTTCTCTCTAGTTGTTGCGGGTTGTTCGATACCAGGTTAGTGGACAATGAATGTCAGCAAGCAACGAATGATTCCACAATAATGTACTCAAACGACCTTAGCGAACAAGAGTGCGTCTTTCTAACGACCAGCATCATCACAGCCTGATCTAATAACCACTGACAGCACGCTACGCTCGGAAAGCTGCATTAGAATAGAGTGCAGTGCAACACACAGTCGCTTCAAAGGGTCGAACGGACCGAGGCTGCAGCCGAAAGGAACGATTGTCAAAAAAACTGAAAATAAAATAAACGACTCCTCAGGGTCAAATAGGCGAATGAGGATTCTTGCCGGATGATACTGGAAGGAAGAAAAGCGCTATCAACCGAGATCGGGACAAGTTCGATGCAGCGTTTTTGCATTCTGAGGCAAAGGAATTCGATGACGGCAACTAACGTTCTACTGCAGCCTAGCCTTACTACGCCTGTTATTCCTTTATACCGGAAGCTTCACCGTAATGGACGAGGATATGGCAAATGCAACACAAGGGCTGTGAAAAAAGAAAATGAAAAGGATGTGATGGTGGCTGAGACCGGGAGCGAGAGCAATCGACTGCCACAGTGCGGTCGATCAGGCGATCGATCAAGCGGACGAGTGAGTTTTCAAACACTCGGCTAAGTGTATAGATCCTGAGAACTTTGAATAGAATGCTAGTGCGCTGAGCCGGCGTGAGTTCTTTCTCTTGACGTGGCTGGAAGAACCAGGCACGCAACAGCCCCTAAGATAGGTAACTTGATCCGCTTCTCTCGTTTCTTGTTTTCAAGGCTGAAATGCTATTATATAACTAATGCTCCTTTAGCATCAGACTGAATACTGATGGCGAAATAGGTGTGCGAAAGAGTGGGATCACACAAAATTTGTCCATTATTAGCTATGCGGTTTTAAGAGCATCAACCAGAGTCAAATTGATTTCCGTTTAAATCAACGCAAGCAAAGTTCCCCTTTACTGCACAAGTAAACATGTTAGAACATAAAGGAACATGACGTTTTGAGAGGACGCTGCTTGTCGAAGAGATGACCGAAAGTACAATAACATATTTTAAATAGTGGAACAGATGTTAGATAAAACGTTTACTGCACCTAAGTAATAAGCGAATAATTCATCTAACCCAGCATTGTCACGCCCAATCAGCTGGCTTAGGCTAGTATAGAAAAGCACCAGACGTCGGCGTTTCGATCTTCTGGGTCTCCTCAGTGGTGCGCCTCCCAGCCGAGCTTTTCCATGTTCCGCTCCCATGACTTCAGGATGCCAGCAGCTAGTGCCACTTCGTCATGGGTGACAGCCGCGGATTTGCGTGATTGACGGTTGCCTATGATATAGCCCGGCTCATCTTCCACTGCTATGCCAGTTACGAACTGTGCAGAGGACAATGGCTAGCCCAACGAGCTGGGAAATTCCGCATAGCGCCTGTGTACCGCATAGGACTTAGAAGCAATACAGATATATTTTCTAGTACTGCTGAGTAGTAGTGAGGATTTTGGAATAATTCAGCTAATTCCTCATTGTCACTCCGTATGGCTTCTGTCTTTGTGGTACATAGGCGCTGTGCGGAAAGTCCTAGCTCGTGAGGCTAGCCATTGTCTTTTGCACAGTTCGTAACTCGCATAGCAGTGGAAGATGAGCCGGGCTATATGATAGGCAACTGTCAATCACGCAAATCCGCGGCTGTCACCCATGACGAAGTGGTACTAGCTGCTGGCATCCAGAAGTCATGGGGGCAGAACCCGTCAGGTGTCCGCTTGGAGGCGCACCACTGACGAGACAGAAGATCGAAACGCCGGCGTCTGGTGCTTTTCAATACTATCCTAAGCCTGCTGGTTGGGAGTGACAATGATGAATTAGCTGAATTAGACCGAAATCCTCACTACTACTCATCATTAAACGAAGTTAGTCGTCCCGGAAATAGCGATAATACACCGTAAGTTGCAGACTAATTAGAGGGTGAACAAAGAGTTCCAGAATGCTTTCTGTAATTTTCGTTGGCTCCATAGTTTTCGAACTTTTATAATCAGCTATGATCATTTGCAAAATATGTAAAGTAATCCGTGGGCAGGTTTGCCACCAGCATAACATAATACACCTTTTCATAATTAGAAACGTGGCTTCTTTTACATATTACCTTTATGAGCTTTCCGTGTGATTCTATTTTATCACAAGCTGACGCACCTAGTCTATTTAAAGAAGACTATCCTGCATCAGAACCACTGTAGTGACAAAACACTATGACTACGCTCACAGACTGAACTGTCTAAGCATCATCATCATCATCATCATCATCATTATGATACACATCAGCTAGAGGTGGGAAAACACCTTCGCTATTGTGCCGCACTTCTTAGTAGCACTTCTTAGTAGATGGTGCACCACTCATCGCAAGCGCAGATAACGCAACAAATTAAGCCTCGTTGTAACGCACTCAGGTACATAAATCCATAACGTAATAAAGATTGACAACCGATGCTTGGTGAACAACCTAAAGGTAAATTAGTTTGGCAGGTCAAGATGGCTGTTAACCAAGCCGCGCACATGGGGGACATTAGTTGATCTATTTTTATGTATTCTCACCTGGTAGTCACGCTCACTCAATGTACTCAAAAGTGTCTTGATTCCAAACTTCGTACTGTCGCAAGAGGCTCTTTTAAGTTGTTTTTGGGCAGTTTGTATCTGCTCATAAAGCTTCACAATTTCCGTGTCTTTTTCGGAAATGACCTTTAAGGATTTAGAACAAGAACAAATATATTAACCTGCTTCCACTCTAAAATCTTTTGATCAACGGCATCCAATATCACATCATTTCCGCTATCGGTGTCCTCAGATTTCTTGGATAAGTGTTTCTTGAGGGCATCACATTCGTCTATTTTTCTTGCCAAACACTTATCCTTCTCCTTCATGACAGATCGCAAGTGTAGTTGTTCATCGGTTGCCTTCTCCAGGTCAGCCGTTGCCTCTCTCAGGTTTTTCTCTAATCGGCTTACGTCACACTCCAAGTTGTGTTTATGTTCTTCTAGGGTCTAAATAAGCCAAATATGAATGTAAATATACAAACAAATAGCTACATCTATTTCAGCCTTTTGGAGTCGAACCTGTGAGCGTAAGTTGGATATTTCTCTGCGAAACTTGACTTCACTCAACTCTCGAACATTTGGATTTTCTTGCAATTTTGAATGCATGTACTCACATTTGCTCGTCAAACTCTGAATTTCCTCATGCATTTCACTGACTTTCTTTTGAAGTTCAATTTTTTCAGTATTGAGCACAGTTTTCTCGTGAGTAAGCTGATCCATATTGAATTTCATTATATCAAACTCTTTCCGAATTCGTTCATTTTCCGTTGACAACTTTAATTTCTCGTCAACAAATTCCCTAGCCGTGTTTGATACTGACAGTGCTCTTTGTAGTTCGTGGTTTTCTTTTTCTAAATCATCGTTCTCGAGTTGCAGATTTCGTAGTTCAGAGGTCTTTTGTATCAAAATCTCCTCCGCATTCTTCCATTGCTCAGAACGAATATTTAGAAGCACTTGTGTGATATTGAATACATGAATCAACTGCCTTCTTTCCGTTAGGCCATCTACTCTTGCCTAGGTTTTTAATAGTGGCAGAATAGCAAGCGATTACCTCTTGCAAAAGGTCACAAAGTGCGTCAACATTCTTTAGACTTATAGATCGCTCGGAAATATCAGCAACTTGCTTCCACTCAAGAGCACTCATTCCGTTACGTCAGTAATGCAAAGTAATCCAAGTGGATGCGAAGGGATTCTGGTAAGCTGCAAAAAAGGAGGGATTACAAGCGGATATTCAAAACAGACATATTCAATCCCCCGGACCAGTGCATGTTTACGAAAGCAATCTAAGTAACGGGTATCGGACAGTGGGTAGACAGTGTGCCAGCTTCCTAAGTTCGACCTAAAGAAAGGTAGGTAAAGTGATATGATGAAGGAATATCAAGGGTCCCGAAGAAAACCAGCACTAGCTAAAGACAGCATGGGTGTGAATCATAAGCAAATCAGAAAGCAAACAGACGCAGAACACAGTAGGTGATTGACTGGAGATTGTTAGCGCAATTATGTAGTGAGCGAGTGTCCAAAGGTTGTAAGAGCAGAAATGAGTTGCTGGATGTGCGGGGACTTGTACGTTTGAGTAGTTCAAGTTCGAATGCGATCAGAACGATGGAATTATATAATACGTGAACCATAAGTTAACGAAGTGCTTCGAGATCAGGATTGTCCTAAAACAAAAACGGCATAATTCCTGGCCAAACCATTACTACTTGCATGTTATGTGCTAGCAGTAGCTGCTGGACCGGTTAGGAGTAGTAAAAAGGTGGAACGGCGAAATCGATGGCAAGCGGAGGCACGTAACTAAATACTTGAGAATGCATAGTATGCCGGAAGTGTAAAGAAAAGGGAAGCTAAAAACGGAAGATAATGGTTAGTTATGGGAAAGGCTTCATGTTGTCAATCAGAAGTCTAGATAATGCTCAAACCCCTGATGATACTCGTTGAAAGCCAGTTCCATCGCTTGACGACTCGACGTGATAGCCGAGGTTCTACCCTAATCCTGTTGCACCGCAGGGTGTCCATTTTCATGGAATGCTAGCGGAGACCAGACAATCTAACAGAACTAAATAGTCAAGCCAAGTCCGGACCAACCTTCATAGTATAAATACTAAAATTTTGGATCAGGTCTGTCCTAGGCATTGGATAGAACATGGAACGCATTCCAAAGCTAAGTAGGTATTCGGGGTATGTTAGTCTTCGCAACTCCTCGACTAACATAATAATGCAACACCCATTCTAATGCCATTTTGTCTCGGACAAGATATTATGGACAGGTCTTGACGCAAATTCGAAGTAAGGTAGCATGATAATCTAGCAGAGTGTCAGCTGTTAAGGTTCAGAAATAACGACAAACAAACCACAACATCGGGAAACCTTTACAAGCCGCATTCTTCTTGCTGTCTCCAGGGTGGAACTATGAAGGACACCTAGCAACGACTTACCTGACTTATACAAGTGAGGAATTGCGCTCCCATCAATCAAATAACTACGTTTCGCGATTGCTTGCATTCATAGTGCAACTAAATTTCTCCAGAAAGATCTAATTTGTATCGTCATGTGTACTCGTTAATGAACTTCAGCGTGAAAATCCCAGAAACAGACGCGGATGGTTGAGTTGGAGTCAATCCACGGCACGCAACAGGGCAAGTTCACCGATCCCTACATACGCTGTGTCGCGTTGGTTGGAACGGAGTTTGGCGTGCAAAATCGAGAAATCAATGCCCCATTACCGGACTACTGCGGTAGGATTGGGGTGGCGCTTGGACAGGCGCAACTGGTCTGAGCAAGGAGTGTGCAATAGGTGCTTAGTATTATCAAGATATTGAAAAAAGGGTCATTAGAAAAGCATATACAGACCGAAAGATAAAATAGAATCAAATACCCTAGCAAAATAGACATTGCATAAAATAGGGCCACGCAGATATGAAATGTAAACTTTTGAGAAAGGAGTCTTGAAATGCTTCGCCGCCTAAAGATCACTGGCAGCACAGTAGCCGATTTCCCGTGGCAGTATTGATCGCCGTTACAAGAAACAAGTGTGGTTACGCTGTCCAATTTGTTTCAGACGGGACCAATAGCATTCATTCCAACATTTTCTCTGATGAAACGATATTCCATTAGCACGGAACTGAGAAGTTGCATCTCTAGGCAATATCTAATCCTCGCGGACTCTGAGAATCACGTATTGCACAAAGTGCGAATCTCCTTTGCTCGAAAAAATGAATGACAAATCGCGGGACCACAGCACACGCATGTGGGTTATCACGCATACCGTGCACCACAAGCCCGTTATCCCTGTGATAACTTTTCGGACACATTATGCTACAAACTCCGTAGAGCAAATCCAAAAGGATCGATAAGCCACCCTTTCACGGTCTATATTCATATGAAAAGATTGTTGGATCATCTTTCTTTCCTCATTGTGTGACCGGTATGTTATTGCTTGGACGCACTCACCCCACACCAGAGTCTGTACGCCGATGAACAGGATACAAATACAAAACCGCGTAGCCTATTCTCACATCATCAACCCGTTCACATCCTTCTCGTATTCTTTAGACATGATCATGAAAAACAAGTATTACCATTTTGAACCAAGTTGCATAGAAGCGGTCAGTCTAAGCGCTGTCGAATCAGCTTTGCTCGTGGATTGCATTCTGGCCCGACGCAACTTTGACACCAATTGCCTGTGCATCAATGTAGTTCAGAAATCAGTGGTAACAGTGAATACGTACACCAACACGAACAGCATAAAACCGTGATATCTCCGTCATCGACGATGATACCCAACATGCCCGCCAGCGTTCTGCTTGTATTGCGGAAATCGCCTGAAGCTATAACATTATGCAAAGTTTCCGTGTTGAGGGCGCGACATTCGTGGACAGTAGTGCCTTTCAGTTGTTCCAGTGAAACAGGCGCTTTCTTGTAAGCAATTTTTTTCTAATAACTCCGTAGGAAGAATTGTAAGGGTTGTGAAACCGGACCCATCAGGTAGACAGACATATCGAGACTAGCCATGTTCGATCAGTGCTGCTTCCGCAGCTTAGTTCATGTCTAGTGGGAGTACTGCGTGAGCAATGAGCGTGTTCGACGTCGCATAATTGGTGCAGGAAGAGCGAGTGAACCGCTAAGCACCATTATATCACGCACCAGGCTCCGATGGCTGGGTCAGGCGTTGCACATGCCAGCACACCGATTTCCGCGAGCTGCATTGTTTGCGCGCCGAGGGTGCGGTTGGAAGTGGAGGATGGGAGGCCAAGCGATGACTTGGTCGAGAGAAATGAAAACCCGCACCGAAGTTAGCGTCCGTTGGTGCATCCCGACTGCCTGGCTGAGGTCCTAAGGACGATGAACACGTGTGGTTGGACACACTTGCTGATATGGTTAGGAGCCGGCCCCAATGGCGTTTGTGTTGTGAGTTCCTTTGTCCATCACTCTCCTGCTTAATCTCCCTCTCAAATTAGGATCTCATTCGTTAGACATAATATAACTCCTCCTTTTCGGCGCGATAGCCGGATGTTAGCTTTCCGGAACGATGTCCATCTATTACTGAGGACTTAGCCGGCGTGACTCCGTTGCAGTTTTCCTCTTGTCTTAGTAGTGCGGCACAACAGCTGAGGTTTTGTCCGCCTGCAGCTGACGTGTATAAAGATGATGATGAAAGGGTTCCAATCTGAAATAATTTGGAACACTGGTAGCCCGGCTTGGTTGCTCACCTGTTGATCGTTTTTCCGAGCTTGGTAAAGGGATTGCATACGTGTCACCATCATGCGAGGTGGCATCTTCAGTGCGGTAATAGGTAGTGTATACCCTGCCTGTATAATCCAGTTGGTCGTTGCTGGAGGGGACGGGGTGCACGGTCCTTGTATCCGTGTTAGGATCAAGAGTGGCTCCATGCACTCAGTGTGGAGCAGACTACGGTCCAGTCACCGCCTTGTGTGCGCTTGATTTCCCAAATACAGTGTGCTTGTGTTTGCTGTGAAGGAGTGTGGACCGGCTCCGTTGATGAAACGTGGTTCCCATCCACATGCCTCCCGGTCTTATTCCTTCGGGTTTACACTGGATATGGGGTGTGTGGTTGGAGCTGTGCGTGGTGCAGCGCAAGCCACCCATGGTCCCTCTGTAGGCGCGAGCGTCCTGTGGCTTGCCACAGTGATAGGCAAATCCAAAACCGGATGCCGCCAACGAACTATAATTTTGCTTATTGAATCGTCAGTCCGTCATCCACGGGCAGGTGCCTTTTGAAGGTGGCAATTTCGATTTGAGCCGCGTGATCTCTGCCCATTTGCTTCCGCGACTGAACCTTTTCTTGCGATTCGCCGGAGACCTTTCTTTCTGAGCTGATGGTACACGGGGTTGACGTCGATGCGCATGTTGATCGAATTAGTAGAGGAGTACCATGCTTCTAGGAACTCTCTTCCTTTCTTTGTTGTTGTTTGGGCTAAAATCACCGTTTTGTTCCAATTGAAGCTATGTACCTCCTCATCCACATGAGCTGAGACAAGAGACGATCCATAATGTTTTTACAAGTCCTCTGATGTTCTTGTATTCTTGTGGACAGTCTCATTCCTGTCTGCCCCACGTAGTTCATTTCACAATTATTGCAATTTATTTTATACACGACGTTTGTTCGTTCAAGTGCATTCCTAATATCTTTTGGGTTTGACAGTATTCTTCGCAAAGTAGCGGTTGGCTTATGAGCGACCAAGATGCTGTTTTTTGAGCAGTCTGGCAGTCATTTCAGAAATGCTCTTCATATACGGCAAAACGACCCACTTGCTTGCATTTGGTATCGGCTCGATGTTCGTAGGTTTTTGGTTTAGACATCTGCGGATGAAATTGCTTGGGTATCCATTGCGCTGGAACGAATCGAATAGGTGTTTCTCTTCTTCCCGTTTGGCATCCACTATACGGCAGTGTGTTTTAATGCTGCGAAATGGTGTCCACACGCAGATCTGGTGACCGGGCAAAACAATCCTTTGAACCTCTGCGACCGATCCACCGGTGACCGAACACTTTAAGGTAATGCCGCACAGTTTGTGCATAATGGGCAGGTGCGTCATATTGAACCTATAACGGCTGAAGCGAAGTGCCGAAGTAGCCAACGATAAGCGGTGGTGAAAACATCACTATATTGTATGGCCTAGGTAATTTGCCAGCGACAGTTCCATTAACATTAGAGTTCCATGATAGCTGGCTTGCCGAACAACCT